GTGCTAAGGAGTTGGTTGAGAACAAGTTATTAGAGACATTGTTAGCTGAGAAATGAGAAACCCCAATCCCTGTCGAAAGAAGAATGGATAAAGTAACCATCACATTGCCATAAGAGCACTGGGCAGTTTAAGTTAATAAGAATTACATGGACGAACATAAAAAAAAAAAATTGCCAAAATATAATGCTGAACTAAAAAAAGGAAGTTGACAGAAGGTCGCATACAGTATAGCACCATTATAAAAATGAATACAAAGCAATACCATATCCGTATTACTTGAACACATGCATTTACAAATGTCAAAAACAAAAAGCAATAAAATATACTGGTGACAAATACACGCATGTGTAACAAAAGTACAAAAGCATGCACAGAAATGATAAATGCCAAATTCAGGACAGCGGTCACCTCTGGAGGGAGAAGAGAATGGGATCAGAGGTGGCTGTGGCTCCCGGGATGTCCATAATGTAACTAACTGTGTCTCAATTCTCAAGCTAAGTAGTAGGTAGGAACGCTTGTATTTATTGACTTGCGGGGGGAGAGAATGAAAATACAGGTTCCAAGATAAAGCATTAAAATCAACAAAGATGAGTTTTTCTCCTAAAGGAAGCAGAGGCAAGGAAAGGCCCATGGATCCCATTTCTGATTTTCTTGCAATCTTAGGAAATAATATTTCCTGTGTTTGTGTTTCAAACATTTATAATGTAATCTCAATTATATATAATTGATATCTGATATGATACATATAAAGTATTTCAGGATGCTCAGAGCTAACAAACCACTAAAATGAGAAAACAAAAACTACATTTTGGTTACTATCCATTTGACTTCCCCTACAAAGTTTCTAAGTCTGATATGCTATCTATACAGTTTACCAGAAGATCAGATACAATGAACACAACCTAGTGGTAAGTGGTTTCATAACATCCCCTTGATGTGGTTTATTATGCTGGAAGGTGGTAGGCACCTGACCTATTTCCCCAAGCAGACTAGCGTCCATTCCTTCCCAGGTTAACACATTACAGCCTGGCTTTAAGCAGTCCCTAAGATATGACTTCCCTCCAAAGGTCCAGGCTCCTAACAGTCTACGCTTGGCACACATCTTTTTGTTGTTGCTGTTTCACTTTGAGCATATCTTTAGACAACAAATAATTACCTGTGCTCCATGAGAAAAAGGACCCTCTTCTGCCACATTTATACTTTCTGCACAGTACTCTGCACATAATAACCTTTTTGAAACACATGATGCATTCCTATGATCTGATTTGATTCTAAGGGGCCTCAAATCAATGAGCAGGGGCCAGCCAGCACTCTGGCCACTGATGATTCCTGGACATGGAGTTGTACGACTGCCTCCGTGTATCCAAAGTCTCTCTCAGGTCCTCCTCAGGCATGCTCAGAGCTGGCTCCAATGGCTAATTCTATCAGCCAGGCACACACACTCACAGAGACAGTCCCAGTCACGCCCAGCTTTTGGGGAGAAAGCTGCCCGTGCTTCCTGGGAGAACAGCAGGAGCGTGGGAGCAAGCACTGCGCAGAGTAGTCAGACGTGGAAGCACCTCCCAGCCCAGTTTATTCCCTCACGACATTCCAAAATGATCCAACCAGATGAATTGGAGAGATTGTGAATACCCAGGTCCAGAGGTATATGAAACATTTTCATAATTTTATAACCTCACCTCTCTCACCCCCCAGTCCACCCCAGCAGTAAGGAACAGGCTTTTTTATTGCCTGGTTTTGCAGCTGGAACATCCAGACTCTGAGGAAATGGACCATGGATGGCCTTCAATTGCTAAGCATGAGCCAAAAGACTCAAGGACTCCAGGGGTTGGCCCCTGGACAGATCACACCTATTTGCCCATCTCCTAATGGGGATTACTTAGAGCCATGGGGAGCCCCCACAGAGAAAATCCACTGGGGTTTGCTCATAATTCTGACAAACCTAGAGGAAAGGAAGTCTGGTCTTTCTGTAGAGGCAAACTTCAAATCTTCCTGGATCCATCTTCCTTTTCTAAACAAACAGCACACTATATATCCTTTGCCCTCCTCCAGGTCCCTCATGGCTAACCCAAGTGGAGGAAACTGGCAGGACGAAAGGCATGCTAAAAGTCACTTAGAGGTCAAAGGACACAGCGTCTAGCTGCAGAATGAGCAGATGTCCAGCAGTTGCTCATAAGCACACACGTGCCTCCTTTTCCTCCTAAAAGCATTAGAAGAGTGAGAGGAAAATGTGGGTTTTATGCTTTGCTCAGCCTACTGCCAGGACACCCTTTCACAGCACCATTAACCAATATTGTGCAGATACAGCCCAAAACATGGGGCTCCAAGCCGGGAAGTGTGACTCACGAACTGTTTCAGCCCAGAACATATTTTGTAAGGCTGAGTTATTGATGTGAAGAGAGAAATGACACCTCTCATGGTGGCATTTTTATTCTGTGCAATCTTGAAAATCTTCCCCAGCATGATCCCACCTTCTCTTCTCCTTAGAGTGCAAGAAGACCAGAGCAAGTTACTAGGGGATGCCAGGTCTGTCTCAAGAACCCGGAAGGCTGCCTAAAACTGGAGGGCTGAATCATCATGACCACATCCTGGGGTCTCCCTTGGTGTGGCACACAGGGCTCAGCCCTCTAGGAAGAACAGAGCTCGGAATCCTGAACCCCCAAGTCGGCCTTTCCCATAGTGATTGGTGGGTGCAAGGGCAGGTCTCTAACAGGCCCGGAGCCCCAAATGGCAGAATATGGTCCCCCAGCACCTGCACACTCGACAGTGGGTAACAGAGCAAGTACCTGGAAACTGACCAGGTACCACACCCACACATGGCAGTGCCACACAACCCCCACCATGCAGGTGGAGGCAGTGCTGGAACAAGAATCTACATAATCCACCCCATAGAAAGCAGCATAAGAGGTCCCGGGCTTTTAAGAATTTCCTTAACAAAGAATGTTATCTTGTGAAAGTTTTGCCCTCAGGACCCTCCTCCAGCAAGGTTCTGTGGCTAGATATTAGGATCACATCTCAGAGTGAGCAAGGACTTGGTTAAGGATCAATTGATCAGATACCTACAGGGGCCTGGAAGATAGAATGTGTATTGACAGAAGTCCATCAGGCCATTTACAGTAATGAAGGGCTCTGGGCCACACTAGACACTGCATGTCTTCACATGCTGAGTGCATCTTGTCACTCACTCCATCCCTTATCCCTTGAGAAGGTCTGAGACTAGGGCCAAGAGTGGCCCTACCAGGAAGGTGAGTTCCCAGAGAGCAGAGCTCTGCTTGAGGGCAGACCAGGCAGGAGACGCTGCATGTCCGATGAAACAGATGGTCAACTCAGCTGCTGGACACTACCACCAGGGAGGAGTGCAGCCGGCAGCTACACAGGGGGTAGTGTGTGTGGATGCTGAAGGGGTTACAAGGTCATTCACACCCCCACTCTAGTGATCTGCTGTCTTGGGCTACAGAGGACACCCAGTACAAGAGGAGGACTGGGAACTCTTGGCTTCAGGGCACCTGTTTCAGGTACACTATGAACATGCAGTAAGGCCCATCTCCCCTTTCCAGAGGAAGAACATCAATGATGTGCAGTACACTGAAGAAAACTTGTGGGAAATGCAGCGACCAGAAAGGTGTTCCAGGGGAGCGACTGTGCATCCTGTGGTGTGACAACCCTAGTTTCATGGCAGATTTCCAAGCCCATTTCCCAACTACCCTAGTCTTGGTCCCCACCCAGCACACAAAACCCAGAATCAGAGTAGCTCGTCCACAGGCCTTGTCTCTCAGCACCAAGTTCTTGGGCGGAGAGAGATGGGAGCCCCGCCCTGGCTCCACCCTTAACTGGCTGGGTGACCTTGATGAGGTCACAGCCTTGATGAGGTCCTAAGGTGCCAGATGAGGAAGCCTTAGGTGGAGAGGGCCATCCTGTGGTTTTAGGGGCAGATAATCAAGGCCTGTCATTTCTGCTTCTCACCTGTAGATAGACAGCACTGCCTTGAACTTGAGTCACGCTGACTTTGTCCATTCCAGCCAATCCCAGCCATAATGCAAGGGGCATCCCGTTGGGTGAGGGGCATGTGCCAGACCTGGCACTGATAAAATGGGTGTCTTTCCCTACAACTTAGGCTGTTTCTGGAAACTATGGTATCAAAGCCGGCAGAAGGGTGAGATACACCTTCTTTAAGACGGCTGGCAGACAGCATTTTACACCAGAAGGACATCAAAGGCAGAAACTCTGAGGGTAGGGTGATTGTGACCATGTGCAAGAACACACATGCTACAGCACACACAAGTCCTCCATCCTGCTCAAGTGACCACAGTCTCTTATTTGAGCTCCTGGGCTGGGGCTGGATGAAAATTACAGCTTAAAAGGAATAAAAAATTCCATTCAGACATGCAACTCCAGACCTGAGGCCTATGAGCAAAGCTTCCGGTGGCCTCCACTCCCCTCCCCACTCCGGAAAACTAGGCGGGTTACCGGGTCCTCAGATTAACGAGCAGTTGCAACAGCTGGGGGAGCCCGGGTGACACCTTCTCCGGGGCACCAGAAGACCTCAGCTGGGAACCCCAAATATAGGATGCCTGGCTTCTAGCCACCACGCCAGCCAGCTGCTCGCTCACCTCCCCAGCATCTCCGTGATCACACCTCCCTCCGCCCACAGCGCTCAGACCTTTCCAATCAAGCCCTGTGGACCAGCCCGCTGGTCCCCACCCAGCCAGCTCCCTGTAAGGCCTGGGGGTTCATATGACATCCACAGCCCGTTTCAAGGACACTGCAGTAACCCAGTCTCGGGGATCTTCAGCCAACCACTACCCTCCTCAACACACACTGACAATGCCAGGGGATTCCCATGTTAGGCCTCTTGCCGGCGCCCTGGGGTCCAGCCACATGCTGGCCAGGAGAGGCCAGCCAGGCGCGGGAGGATGGAGGCGGCGGCGTCGAGCGGATGCGCGAATGCAAGGCTGCGGCCAGGGCGCGGGTGGCGGCGGCGCGGCGCGGGCGGGGCTCACCTTTTTGACTTGGTCATCCTTGAGCTCGGTGAAGTAATAGGCCAGGAGCTGCGCGGCGATCATGCTGGCGGTCGGGGGTGCCGGGCGGCAGGTGTGGGGCCGGTCAGTCTTCCGCAGCCCAGGCAAACAGTGGTCCTCCCGCAGCGGCTCGGCGGCTCCTCCTCCTCCTCCCGCGGCTCCTCCCCCTCGGCCCGGGGCGCGGCGTCAGCTCGCGCGCTCCCGGTCTCCGCGCTCCCGTCCTCGGGAGGGTGACAGCCGCCAGCCGGCCCACCTCCTCAGCGCCCATTGGCTGCCGCGTGCGTCCGGGCTGGGAGGGGGGGACGCGGCGGCCGCTCCCTCCCGCGCCGGAAAAGGGGCGGGCGACGTCGCGAAATCCCCAGCTGTCGGGCATCACCCTGCACGTCCCCCACGTACGGAGCCGGCGCCGGGCGGGAGGCTGTGTCTAGGGCGCACTGTCACGGGTGGCGGCGCCGTGCCTAAGAGCGGGTGGGCGGGATGCAGGCAGAGAGGTGCGGGGCGCCGCCGGGCGGGTACGAGAGACCCCGAAGGGTTTGCTGCGGAACAGGGCACAGCTTGGAGGACGGGGTGGGGTTAGGAACGAGGCAGCTGGCTCCTTCCTCGGCAATTAGGGCTCTCCCCGGGGATCCCCGTGGGTGGGGAGGCGGCTTGCAGAAGTGGGCGTGGAAAGCGAGCGGAAGCGGGAACCAGGCGGCCTCGCCATCCTTGCACCCGAGTCTCTGCGCTTGCCGGCGTTCGCGGGTCCAGTGCGGCGTCCCACCTTCGTCCTCTGCGGCAGTGCATCACCCCACCCTGGGCCTCCCGGCTCATATCTCAGGCTGGCGAGTTTGTATTGCTAAACCCAAAGTGCCAGCCCCTGAGTCACCCGATCCTGTGACTCTCCCCGAGGGCGGAGACTTGGGCACCGGGACACGGTTAGTCCCCATTCTCTCGGCCTGCTCTTCCTCTTGGGCATTCAGAACCACCGGGGTCGAGGGTATAGTTCAGGCGCCTCCCAGGTGCTGTCTTTTTCACTTTTCCGGAGAAAGTTATGCGGAGCAGTACCTTACCAGACCACAAGAGCTCAAACATACAGAAGTGGCTACTATCCTGACTCAACAGGTAAGGAAACTGAGGCTCAATGAAGCCACAAGTTTTGCAGGACCTTATATAGCCAGGAAGTTGAGGTCAGGATTAGAGCTGGGGCCTGCCTGTCTTTAAAAGCTGGTACTCACAGTTGTACGCAGCTCTCCCTCCCCTGCCCAGTCCAAGCAGGCCATGTTCCTGGCTGCACCTTGTAGGGCAGATGGTCAGCATCCCACTTCTAACCCAACACTGGATGCTGGGAGCACCTGACCAGGCCTAGCAAAGTTACAGCTGCCTCAGGGGGAAGATGGCCTAGGACCAGGTCAGCCCTCCCCAGGAACCCCAGGGCCCTGACCACTGCCCATCCCCCACAGAAAAGGAGGAGCTTAGATGCCCACAGGTCCCCACATCCCCTGTACACATTCCTGTCCCCTGCTTTATGGTCTGTGCAGAGAGGCATTCACAGCCACCTCTCTGGACCTGTTTGATCATCCATAAGATGGAAATACTAGTGCTCACCCTGTCCCCTTGTGAGGGTCCTTAAAACACCTGCATCTAATACAAAATAAATGCTAGGTATTAATAGAATTGACTGGAAAGCTGATCAGGTTAAAGCTTCAGGGCCTGTCACCTGCCTGTCTCCCTTTCCAGGCTGTGGCACAGCCTGGCAGTTTTATATTTGAATTATTTTGCAAAGAGATGCCCCCCCCAAAAAAATTATTTAAACTTAAAGCTCCACTAAACCTTGATCTGCCTCTGGATAATTATAAACCAGGAACAGCAGGGTTTTATGGCACATACCAGACACACTACCACCGTGGCCGTAAGGCAGATTTGAATAGATGAGAACAAGATGACTCTGAACTGCCGTTTACTTTGAGTCCTGCAGATGTGCCTCTGCCAAGCTCCCATGGCTGGGAGATCACTGAGGATGGTGGACTGTGTTTTGCCATTGCTCTGACTCCCACACCTGCCCAGGGCTGGCACCATTCAGCAGACTGAATGGAGCAAAGGTGGTGATCACGAGCATGGCCCTCACTCAGCCCCCAGCCAATGCCATCACCCTTACCTCCCGACCACCTCATTTGAGCCTGGAGTTGGAGAAAAGCTGCCCCTGTAAATGGCCAGGCCACCCTGACATGCTCTACTGAAAGACAGGAAGGTATTTCTGTTGTCTCTTCCCAAGCCTCTAAGGGAAAAGCAACCTGTCAAGGTGACTTGACCTTCCCAACCCCTGCAGGCAGCCAGGCCTCAAGGCCCAGCAATATTTCCGGAGACAGCTCTAAGCCTGAGCCACTGCTTCTCAAAACCCCCAAATCTCCTCTCTGTGGACCAGAAATATTACAAGAGCCTTCGAGCTGTCCTCCCTGGTTACTGGCTTCCTGCCACCCAAGCCATTCAAGCTCCAGGCCACATTAATCCTGCTAAAAAGCAGCCTAATCACATCACACCCCTGCCCACAATACTTCCTGGCCCCCTCCTTCCCAATGGACCCAATTTAAACATCTCTGGCCTGGTGGTTGTGGCCCTCTGTAATCTGACTCCACTCTTTCCCACTTATCTCTTTTTTCACCCCTGGCTACAGCAAGGCCACTTCTCACTGTCTTCCCCCAACCAAGTCCATTCTGTTGTGCCCCTTGCTTATCCTGCCTTCTTACTCACTTTCACCTGACCAAGTGTCCCCTCACTTAAAGCCCAGCTGGCCCACCTTCCCTAGGCAGCCTCCCCTGACCTCACCTACTTACCCCAACCTCCCTGGCCTTGGCGCCTTCACAGGGCATGCACAAACAGTGCTCACAGTCCATCCAGATGGAGACCAAGGCTCTTCTGTACAGATGGGGAGCCTGAGACGCAGCTGGTGGGCCATTTTGCCCAGTGTCAGGTTGTGGGAGAGTTTGGAGCCAGGACTCAAACTCAGTTCTGATGCCCAACCAGAACTCTGTTCATCCTTCCCTACCACCTCAGGCAGCCTGGGCCCCAGATAAGTAACACTGAGTCACCACCACCTCCCTGATAGGAGTGACTGTCTTCTGGGGGGCTGTCTTATCTGCCCCCATCAGACTGCTTCCTGAGCTCAGTACACAGGCAGTGTTGTGTCTCCTCTTAATCAAACCAGTGATCACCTCATGTATGTCTTGATTATTTTGCCTCTTATGGCTGTGACACAGCTCTTAAAGTCCACCTCAGCCACCTTGATTACTCCCTGGACCCACAGGAAGACCTCACCCCAAAGGGAGTCCCTAGTTTCCTCCCCTCTGAAGTCTCCCCTCAAGTCCCCTGAATTCTTAGTTCATTTACTGTGGTTCTCCTTGTACAAGTTGGTGGAAAGATCAGATGGTGCCATACTGTCACCTCACAAAACACACCTGCATTTCTAAAAACAGAATTCCACCAATTCCCGTCTGACTCACAGCATTCGGAAGTTAACTGCAGCAGTGATCTCCAACAGATGGACACGTACCTCAGCACCTGGGAGCACACCACACAATAACAGCAATAGTGTTTGCACAACGTTGACAGTTTACAGAGCAGTTTCTCATTTATTGCCTCATTTCTCCTGATAACAGCCTGGTGAGGTTAGAAGGGCAAATATCATTATCCACACTTAATCAATCAATGAGGTGTGGGGTGATAGAACTTGCCTAAGGTCTCAAAGAGAGTGAGAAAAAGAAGCATTAAGGCCAATGCCTGTATCAATGTGCATGGTGGAATCCTGACCCAGTGGGGACTGGCACACACAGCACTTCCTGCAGGGACCCTTATCCAGTATTTCTGTAAGATCAGTGGTTTCAGCCTGGCTGCCCACAAGTCACCTGGAGAACTTTGCCAAATGTCCATCCCCAGAATGATGCGGAAAGCAGAGACTGACTGGCTTGATGTCGGCTGCAGTCCAAACATCACTTTTTCAAGTTCCCCAGGTGAGACTCAGGTGCTACCAGGAATGAGAACTGCTGATACAGACCTTGGCTTTCCATGGAACATCTGGAAGAAATTTTTTCAATGAATTGACTTCTAATACTTGTAACAGCTTCTCATGAGCGGAGCCGAAGGTGGGAATTTGGCTCAGTGGGGTGAAAGTTCATTTCCACTTTCTCGTCAGCTCTGCACAGTTCTGCTTCCTGCTTGAAAAGGGTGGTGATGTTTTGTGAGCTTCCCAGCCCCTCGAGTGGCTGGACTTGTAAAATCACATTCTTACCCAGCCTCCCTCCCTTTTTCATTTGCCCAAAGTTCTACCCTCCACCATCATAACAGGGTCAATGAACTCGTCAACCTCCAGGCTAAATCTACAGCCTATGGTATCTTACCTGGTCCATCTGATAGTTTATAAATATGGGCCAACACTTAGCAATTAGGAGATTTCGCTTTAAAACCCAGGTCTCTGGCATCTAGGTCCAGCTTCACCACCCACATGGGTGATTACATGGCAAGATTGGGCTAGAGCAGAGAGCAGCCACTGCCCTCTCAGATAAGGTAGGGGCCCCCAGCAGCCCAGGCCCACCCAGCCCACCCACTGCACTGATTTCCACTGACTGCCTTTCTACCCTCACTTCACATTGTACAAGCTCTGTAAAGCATTTCAGCTTTCAGCTCCTAGTGATTAGAATTTACAGGCAAAGGCCTCAGGTATTAGGGTCAGGGTTAGGATAAAGCTAGATTGGTAAACAGGTTGCAGGACTTCAACTTTTCACCTAGATCTTGTACTCTCCAGCTTCCCCCAAACAACTGCTCCTCAGATAGCATAAAGTCCCCTGCCTGCCTGCCCCTTGCTCCACCCTGTTCACCACAGCTCAGAGAGAGGACCTGAATCCCAGACACGTTTCTCAGCTTCCACCTATGAAGGCTTCTCCTCCCCTCTGGGGTCGACAGTCCAGGGAAGCCAAGGGAAGCCCAATCCCACCCTGTCACACTGGATATTCCATTGCTTCTGACCCTGACAAACCTCCTAGGCACAGAGAGCTGTGGCCTGGAGGAGGAAGGTTAACAGACTGCTGAGGCCTTTCCAGGTTTAGACCTGTTCCTTATCTCAGGCTGGTCTTTCCCCAAAGGAAGCCCATATCTTTTTGGGCCAGAGCAATGGCAGATCACCCTGCTGGCTGGCTACCCTGAGTTTCCTGGGATAGTTCTCCCCAGAATCCACACACAGTTTACAGAGCCCACCAAGGTCCTCCACCCTGACCTTAGAATTAGCATGAAAACACACTGGTAAGAACTTACAGAGTCTACACCCATACCCAGGCAGGGTGGCTGTGGGAGTTCACAAGCCAGCAAATTAAATATACAAATGAAAATTAGGTACTGACTTTTTATTTTGTTAAGAAAGGGCCTTTTAAAAAATTATAATTTCCATTTCCTATCAGCGTAATTTCCTAAAGGAAAAGGTATTTTAACCCACAGAAGTAAGAATAATGATCACTTTTTTTTTTTTTTGGCAGTACTGGGGCTTGAACTCAGGGCCTTCACCTTGAGGCACTCACCAGCCCTATTTTCGTGAAGGATTTTTCAAGATAGGTTCTCATGGAACTATTTGCCTGGGCTGGCTTCCAACCACAATCCTCCTGATCTCTGGATCTCTGCCTCCTGAGTAGCTAGGATTACAGGCATGAGCCACCGATGCCCAGCATAGCGATCACTTTTCAAACTACATACGCTTGGCTGTATGATAGGAACAGCTAATGCTTAGGCAGAACTTAGTATATATCTGGTATTCTTTGAGACCAGGGGCATAGCTAAGAAGTCAAGTGCATACTTAGCACTTGCAAGGCTTTCAGGTCAATCCCCAGCACTGACAAAATAACAACATACTTGGCTTATATTAACTTGTTTGAGCCTTAAAAATACCCCAGTGAGGGAGATACTAATAATGTCCCCATTTTATAGATGAGAAAACAGTCACAGGGAGGTTCCGTGACTTCCCCAAGGTCACAAAGCTCCTGAGTGGAAGATGTGGAATTGGAGTCAAGGCCATTGGGCTCCAGACTCGTGCTATCATCCAGCAAAGTGAAATGTTGTTGTACCATATTGTCTTTTTCTCTTTTCTTTTAGTGGCACTGGGGGTTGAACTCAGTATTCTGCCACTTGAGCTGACACAGACACCTCAGTCATAGATGGGTCCAACGACCTGCATACCAGGGAGTCTGTCAGGATGGAGCCGGGATTCTGGTCGGTTTGTAAAGTCTGGCGTGTGGATCCTGGCTCTGCAGCCTCCTATAAAGGGTATTCTTGAGCCAAGCAGGAAGGCAGCTGTGCATGACCAGGGAAAGGGGCTGTACAAGAGCTCCGGAAGCCCTTGAAACCAGGGTGTGTATGAGGGACTGAACTCCTGTAAGATCCAAAGGAACTAGCCAAGTGTGCCTGCTCTCTCACTGTCCTCTGCAGGTCTGTCCCCATGTGCCCATCCCAAAGAATCACTCTTGTCAAACCTTTTGGTCTTCACCTCCCTCCCAAACTCCTGACCCATATTTCCAACCGCCTCTGAGTGGCAACTCCTCTCTGTCCCAAAGCATTTTCTTTTTCCCAAGTTTACTCTTTCTTCTCTAAACCCACCCTGTCACTAATTCACTCAGCACCTAATCAGCACCTTGTTCTTCCCTGATCACTGGAATGTGGAAGTGAAAAAGACAGAGTGCCCACCCACACTCTGGTAGAAGAGACAGGAAACCAACCACTAATAAAATATACATCAGGCTGAGGTCTAGGAGGCAAATAGAAAGCTGATATCCTAGGGTGTCCCACTTCCCCTTTGACCTAACTAATAAAAGCTCAGGGTCCTTGGGCTAAGGCCTACATTTCAAACCTCGCCTGCAGCTAACGTGGCCATGTGACCAAGTTCTGGCCAAAGAGGAAAGCGAGAGGGTCTCCTGGAAGCCTGCTTAAGACCCAACTCCTATGCAGCTTTCCCTTTTCATTCTTCTCTCCTCCTTCCTATTGGCTCCTGGATTAGGAAATAATCTTGGGAATGGCAGCCACACAAAGTAAAGCAACAAAATAAAATAGGAGCCTGTGTCACTGTCACCAAGGTGCCCCCCTATCAGCCCCACACCAACTACCTCCAGATTTCTAAACTTTGAGAGAGAAATAAATTCCATGAGTTTACCCAACTGCAGTTTTTGGGTTTCCTGTTACAACCAGGCAAATCTCATCCCAGCTGATATGCAGGCTGAGCAAACACAGGGTAGGGGTATCATTTTAAACAGGATGGATGGGAAGGCCTCTCTGAGGAGGTGACAATTGAGCAGACTCTAAATAAAAGGAGGGAGGATGCCAGGCTGGTGTCTGGAAAGTGCTGCTGGCAGAATTAGCTCCTTTCACCAAGCTGGACACCTGAGCACCATCCCCAGGGCTCCTTCATCATCACAGGCCATATCTAACCTGTTATCAAATCCTGTCAGTCCTCTCTATGGGTGTGTCTCCAGAGCACGGGAAACAAAACAAATCAAACCTACAAACTAGTTTTTTATTTTGTGTTTGAACTCAGGGCCTATACCCTGACTCACTTCACCAGCCATTTTTTGTGATGGGTTTTTTCAAGATAGGGTCTTGAGAATTATTAGCTCAGGCTGGCTTCAAGCAGTGATCCTCCTGATCCCTGCCTCCTAAATAGCTAGGATTACAGGGGTGAGCTACAAACTCTCTTGAATACAACTTTTCTCCCCATTCCTTCCCTAGACAGGCCCATAGTGGGTTAAACTGTGCCAGCAAAAAGATGTGTCTCATATGAATAAACAAAACAAACAAACAAAAAAAGATGTGTCTCTGTCCTAAGTTCCAGAGCCTGTTCCTGTGACCTTATTTGGAAAAAGGGTCTTGCAGATGCAGTTAAGTTAAGGATCTCAACATAAGGCCTGGGGATGCAGCTCAGAGGTAGACTATGTGCTTAGCATACTTGAGACCCTGAGTCTAATCCTCAGCACCAAAAAAAAAAAAAGATAATTTTAGATTACCAAGATGGCCTTAAATTCAATGACAAGAGGCAGAAGAGAAGACAGGAAGAAAAAGAGCATAAAAATAAAGACAGAGATGACTGATAACCTTTAGCCACAAGCCATCAGACACTGAAGATGGGGGGGTGGTTCTTCCCTAGATCCCCAAGGACACCTTGATCTCAGACTTCTGGCCTCCAGAACCTTGGGACCATGAATTTCTATTGTCTTAAGCACCAGGTTTGTGAGAATTTGTTATGGCGGCCCCAAGAAATTAATGATCAGTATCAACTCTCCCCAGCCCCAGCTATGGAACATATTTATTCCGGAACCATCAGAGAAAATGTTTTGGTCATGCAGCAAATCTTTTAATCATCAACTCAATAATACATATATTTATTTATAACTATCAGTGCATACCATCATATTAATATATTATGTATATTATAAAACATCTGTAATATAGACATGAAAAACAGTGAGATACGTAGGAGACTAAAATAATACAGCAGCTCTGAGACTGTTTCTAATAAGGTTTGGCTGTTTCTAATAAGGTTCATTATATAGCTTACCATATCACACAGCAATTCCGCTCCAGGGTATTTACCCAAGAGAAATGAAATACTTTAAGGATCATCCAT